CATGTATTAGAGGTTAATTTTGATGAATCACATTATTAATCAGTGAAGAAATAATTGTAAAAGTACATAAATAAATTATCTTTCGAGTAATTGTAAAAATACATAAATTAATGACTTAGTAGATCTCTCACATAGCAGTAATAAGTGAGAGAACCTAAAGCATATTTTCAATTCATGTAATGTGAAAACATAACTGCTCAAACTTATTTTCAATTCACAAATTTGGATAATCTATTAAGTACCACAATTAGCAATGATTCTGACCAGCTTAGATCATAGTAAATATTTATGAAATTAAGGAAATCTGCCATGATTCTTTGTATGTGCATTTATCTGTTTTTGTAACCTGTAAAGTTATCTTCATTTTTCGTATATAACATGAAGTTGTTATCAATGGCTATTCTCATTTTTTCAGGCTTTAAAAATTAAACTTTTTTGTCTTGTATTTTGTAGGATGAAACCACAAAGGTGCAATTTTAAATTTAATCTCTTTGGAATTGACTGTGAGATACGAAATGTGGACCCTAACAAATTTAGTTATATAGTGCTGATTAAGGACACTAAGAAATGTGTGGCCAGGGAGAATGAGGAAGTTAATCTTTACCCAGACGAGAAGTTTAGGGTAGAAGCCATGTTACCTATGTCAGGGGAGAAATACTTACTAAACAGTGACAACGATGTAGGGTTTATTTTGGAGCAATATGGGCTGAAAGGGTGATGGACATTTAGTTGTTTGTTGAAGTTTTACTCGTTGAAATAGTAGAACCATTACCAGCTTTGCTTGAACCTAATGACAAGCAACCAAAAGTTCTACAGGTAGAGGGATTTCAAGATGACTTCCATTGGAGTGATGTTTCTAGTGATGATGATGAGAATGTAGATGGTGGGGGTAATGTGCACGATGATTTAGATGGTGATGGTGAGGTACATGCCGAGGTACATGTAGATGGGGATGGGGATGGGGATGTAGATGTAGATGGTGGTAGGGATGTACATGTAGATGTTAACAATGATGAGGAGGTACATGCTGAGGTAGATGGTGAGAGTAATTTATTTCAGGAGGATAATGTGGTTGGTGATAATGAGAGTGAGGATGTGGCTGAAAGTGGGGCCATTTTGTCTAATTTTGAGCATAACAGTGAAGAAATGGGAGAAAGTGGGAATGATGATGTTGTCAGTAGGATGAGTAGGAATATAAAGCAAAATGAGTTTAAGTACCGGGCCAATGGGAAGATTAATTTTAAGGTGGGGCAAATGTTTCAAAGTGTAACCCATTTTTGAAAGGTTTTGAAGGATTATATAATTCAAAACAGCTTCGTTGTGGAGAAGATCCACAATGAGAAGAGGAGGATAAAAGCAATTTGTAAACAAGGAGGGTGTCCATTCCACATTTACACAGCATTGATGGTCGATAAGCAATCGTATCAGATTAGAAAATACAAACATAGACACACTTGCCTTAGAGTGTACAAGAATCTCGATGCTAGTGCTTCATGGATTGCCGAAAAGATGGGTGGCTTTATAAGGTTTTAGTGAGGGAGTTCTGTGCAGCCCGTACATGATGAACTTGGTAGGGCTCATTATTTGGAGGCATCTACACGTAAGTTTTATAGGGCCAGGAAAATTGCAACTGGTATGATCGTAAAAAAAAAAAAAAAAAAAAAAAAAAAAAATGCCGAGTCATTTGCATGGTTGTTCAAGTATTGCCACATTTTATAGGTCACCAATCCTGGGTCAATGACGAAGCTTAGGGTGATTAGAGAGATTGTGCCACCTACTTCTAAGTTCAAAAGGTTTTTTCTTAGTTTTGCGGCACAAAAGAAGGGATTTTTGTATGGATCTCGACATTTCATTGGGATTGATGGGTGCCATCTCAAAGTGCACTATGGTAGGGTTCTTCTATTGGTCGTCTCAATGGATGCTAATAGTGGGGTGTTCCCTTTGGCCATCTGCATTTATGAGGTAGAGAATAATGATTCTTGGGGATTTTTCTTGAGTGTATTGCATGATTTTCTTGGGGATGTTGATGATGTCACATTTATGAGGGACAGGCAGAAAGGTATATTAAATGCCTTAGAAGTTCATTGGCCATGAGCAAATACTAGGTGCTATGCTAGGCATGTGTATGCCAATTACAGAAAAAAATTTCTAGGGGTCCACTTAAGAAATTTATTTTGGGGAGTGAGTAGAGCTTCCAATAGGCTTGATTTTATTGCGGCTATCGGTAAGGTGAGGGAAGTTGATGAAGATGCATACAAGCAGATATTACAGAACAAACCTGATAAATGGTCACTGTATTCCTTTGACCCAGTTGCCAAGTCAAACCACCTAACAAACAATATGAGTGAGGTTTTCAATGCATGGTTGGGTAAGGATAGAGAGCTACCAATTTTGAGTTTACTGGAGCTGTGCAGAATAAGGGTATGAAGAGGATGCAATGTAGATTCCAATTTGGTACTAACTGGATAACTCCTCTTCCACCAGTGGTGCACAAAAAAATTAACAAGTTGATTGAGTTTGCTAGGTGTGTTGAGGTTCATTATCCTGGATCTGGGTTCATTATCCTGGATCTGATGAGTTCGAGGTTCGTGATAAAAAAACAGACAGAAAACATACACTTGTGGTGGGGAAGCAATATTGTGATTGTGGCTTATGGCAGATTTCTAGGGTTCCATGTGTCCATGTTGTTAGTTATCTCTTGCACATGAATGTTAATAACTTCGAAGAACATGTGGATGACAAGCTAAGAATTACAACATACATGCAAACATATGCACATATGATCCATCTTGTACCAGACAAGTCCACTTGTCCTGATGTGAGTGGCAAAAAATTATGGCCACCATACAAGCACGCCAAGTCGAGCAGACCAGCAAAGGCAAGAAAAAAAATCCAACTGAGGAACCCAACAATAAAAGGGTCTACACACTTAGATGTAGTATTTGCAATGGAATGGGCCATAACAAAAGATCTTGCAAGGAGAATCGAACTACTGCAGATAAAAGGAAAAGCCATAAGGTATTTGTAATTTCTTCATTTTGTTTATTTTAATTTTGCTGATTAGTTTACTAATTTTGTTTCCCATTTTGGATGTTGTAGAGAACATATGTAGCAACAATGACTATAGTAGCCTCAAGAGCCAGATTTGCAGCTTCATCAACAAATGCAGCTTCTTCAAGTCAAAACAATGCTCCACAATCTCATAGCACAGGTGGCAGCAAGCATATTAAGTTTCACACAGTCATTAGGCCAAACATCTAACCTTAATTTTATCATTTAATATGTGGGTCACAACCTCTTTAAATAATGGAATTTGAACTAGCAAAGTCAATTAATGAGAAGGTAATTCATTTTTTCATAATTACTGTTGAATTTTGGTTAAGCTCCCAATCCCATTGTTCAATTGCCTACCATTGTTTCCTATAGGATTGGATTTTACACTTGTTTTGTTGTATTGTTGATATTCAACTCTTTTATGAGTCTGGGAAATTCGTAATGATTCTTCCATATGAGTGTGAATGAATTCTGGGTAATAGTTGTTCATTGCTAGTTGCATGATATTGCTAAAATTTTAAATAATGGTTTGCAATTGAATTTCTTGATTTTGCAGCTGTATAGGCAGTATATACAGATAATATAATTTTTCTTTTGATGGTATATCAATTTCCTCTATCTTAAATGCAAGTAGTATTGTTATTTCATGCACGATATATGTTTGTGGACATTCTGAGGTGAATTTGAGGTGGCAAGGAGTGAAAAATGCTTGTTTTTGACTGGTTTTTGTTGGAATTTTTTTCTGTAAAGCTAGTTAATTATTTGTATAATGTATGTATTATAAGTTCGTGGACATTCTGAGGTGAATTTGAGGTGGTAAAGAGTGAAAAGTGACTTTTTTTTACTGTTTTTGTTGGAATTTTTTTTTCCTGTAAAGTTGGTTAATTATTTGTATATTGTATGTATTATAAGTTTGTGGACCTTCTGAGCTGAATTTGAGATGGCTCTGAGTGAAAAATGGCTTGTTTTTTTTACTGGTTCTTTTTGGAAATTTTTTGTATAAAGCTGGTTAATTATTTGTATACTGTATGTATTATAAGTTTGTGGACATCTTCAGAGGAAGTTATTGAGTTACTTTGTTTCAGGTCATAACTCTTGGAGATCATCAAGGGTTTGGAGTACAGAAACTCAAGAAGCACTAGAATCAAAGCCTCATGTTTTAGGTCACCCAACACCCAGGACAGATTGTATACTGGTCATATTTTTGCTCTATGTATAAATTACTAATCATAAATTTATGACTAGAATTAAAGCCTTATATTTTTGCTCTATGGAGATTTAACTGGTTTTGATATTTTTGAATGAGAATTGTGACAATGACAATTAATTGGCCTTGATATTTTTGAATGAGATTTGTTACAATGACAATGAAGTAATTTTAACTCCATTTTTTGTTCTTTCCCTTAAAAGTCTGTTGGTTTATTTACTTAGATTGAACACATTTGAATTGCATTCCCAATTTCTCCTTTTTGGGTATCAATTCAAACGATTGTATCATGATTTTGGAATCTACACTCTTGTTGGGTTTTAATTGATACAATTTAGTCAGTTTATTTTGTATCAAACACATGGACAAAATGGTAATATTAATTACTTAAAAATTTTAATATCTTAACCGTTATGAGTCTTTTAGCATTAGGGACAAACTGGTAATTTAATTTTATACATAGTTGGGGTTATATTAGTAATTACAACCTAAGAGGGGTATATTGGTAATTACATAGTTAAAGGGGTATATTGGTAATTGACATGACATATAATAATAATAAAACAATTCATATCAACAGCTAAGGGCATTTTCGTCTTTACAGTTATAATTACTGTAATTGACGGAATTTACTAACGGAAGTTGACAAGCGGTTGGTATTTGGTGTTTTTAACTTTTTGGGTGGGAAATAGGCGTTTACTCGACTTTATAATTGATATCAAAGAGTTAAGGTAATATTTCAATTATCAAATTTGATCCCTAAATCTTGAAATCTCCGGTCAATCTTGAAGCCCTTGTCGACGTTTTCCTGTTCTTCTCGCCGTCAGAGACGCCGCAGACGCCGCCTGTTACTGTAATCTTCCGGACGATCGTTTGAGTTTGGGTAATATTTCAATTTAATGGAATTTTGGGTCACTTTGTTGCTTTTTTACTTTCTGATGAGCTTTTTACGTCTTCCTTTTGCAGTAGTATAAATTGTCTGGCTGAATTGTGAATATGAAGTAATTTTGTTTGTGAAGTTGGAGTTTTGGACAAAAATCTTGAACAATTCTATCATTTGCTTTGCTGCTTCTTTATTTTTGGAGTGGACTAAAATTGTCTTGGTTGAATAATTGGAAATTATTGACATATTAACTGAAGAATGAAGAATTGTGTTAGTTTCAGGGAAAATGTTATTTTGTGGTCTTGGTTCTTGATGATGAGAAACATAAGATTCAAAATGTCTAGTTTGTGTCCAGCCCTTATTTCTTTTCTCTTGGTAATTGATTAGAGTGGTGCGTTTTACTTTTAAATCCATATAATTAATTCCTTCCTTGGTCCTGTGTTTTTGACCGAGTAGTTTAGATTCTAAGTATTTGAAGTTTTTTTTTTTTTTTTTTTTAATTTCTTTATTCTGCATCTTAAGAAGATTCAATTGAGAAAACATGGCACTATTTGACGTGTTATTCCAAGAATTGGTTCCCATTTTACTTCCCAGTTTATTTTGTGGCTGGACCCTAAACTGTTTTTTTTTTTTTATTCATCATCACTATGTATTGTTTTTAGTTGGATTTCTGGACATTCAAGGGTGTTCTGTTAGTTCCTTTTTGGGCCGAAGGAGTTGTGGTGGGTCTTTTTACCGGGGAATTTAGGTCATGTCACCATAGACTTCATTGTCAAAGTTTGTTTAATTTGTGAAGACAATTATTTAGAGGTACAAAAAGGGGGTTACATCCATAATTTGAATTTTCATGTTTTTGGATGAAAAATTGTTCTCAAAGGATAATTTGATCATAGAAGGAGCATATTTTAATAGCAAAAGGGATACTTGGTTTCATTGCTAGACTCAACTGGAATAGATTTTGTAGTCTCGTCTTGTCAAGACCAATTTTTTCTTTTCTGGTTTGAGAGTGGTAATCGTCATTTTCTTGCTCAGTTGAATTTTTAGTTTCTTTTGTAATATGTAAGGAGGCGACTCTCCTACTTTGCTGGGTTTGTCCTATGTAATGTTCATCTTATATCTACATTTAAAAAAAAAAAAAAAAAAAGTCTGGAAAGATTCTGCAGCTAGAAATATTTATAGTGTGTGTATTATAATTGTCCTATGTAATACTTGATCTGGGTTTGTCCCATGTAATATTTCATTTTAATGGAATTTTGGGTCACTTTGTTGCTTTTTTACTTTTTGATGAGCTTTTTTCGTCCTCCTTTTGCAGTAGTATAAATGGTCTGGCTGAATTGCGAATATGAAGTAATTTTGTTAGTGTAGTTGGACTTTTGGACAAAAAAGTTGAACATTTCTGTCATTTGCTTTGTTGCTTTTCTATTTTCCTTTCAATGGAATTTTGGGTCACTCTGTTTGCTGTTGGGATATCTATCCCTTTTCCTTTTTTAAATCTACTTTTTCATTATCAACTAATAACTTTAATTTGGATTTTTATTAGGATCACAGCATGGGTTCAACTTCGACTTCTGATGTACAACTTGGAACTAGATCTTCTGACCCAGAGATAGTCACCCTTATTGATAGTACATGTCATGTTGATAGCACTACGGGGGTAAACAAGTCTTCAACTGTTGATGAAAATCGTGAGGGTGGTCATGGTGATGGTACTACGAGGAGGGTAAACAAAAATAATGAGCCTAAAGTGCCAATATTCTCAGTTGAAAATGCCTACGTATTTTTAGGTTCCATGATTGCTGCCATAGCAACTATATTGTCATTTGACAAAACTTTGTTTGCTGAGTCGTTGGAAGCCGAAGTCCATTTGATTTTTCTGACAGTATGCATTTTTGGGGGAATTTTATGTTTCTTCTATGGCGTTTGTTTGTCAGTGGTGTGTCAGTCTAAATGCTGCCCAAGTTTTTGGCAACGATTTGGGCGGGTGTTACTGAAAATTGGCATGGGGGCTACTGCATACGCCCTTGTGGCCACAGCTGGCCACCTATTCCCTGAGCCGGCAATGTATTGGTGGACTTTGGTGCTGCTTGTAGCCTGCACACCGCCAATTTTTTGTATTGTAGTGAGATATTAGTATGGTGTTGATATTAGAAACTTTTGTGGGGTAGTGAGAGAAAAATATTGGTTACATAAGTCATGGAATATGGTATTTTACTATTCATTAATTTTTTTTTCTTTATTATGGAAACCTTTATGTTAAAAAATGAATTATCTGCATCAATCAAAATTATCCATTAATAAATGTATAAAAAATGAATAAATATGATATTTTCTCACAATTAATTTCTAATAAAAAAGTTGTAACTACATTACCTTGAAGAATAAAATATTTCTCTTTTAGCTCATTAAATAGAAAAAATTGAAAATCAGGTTGACTTCCCATCTTGTTGAAGAGAACTCGTGTCTAGCAAATCCAATTACACCGAGATGTAATTTGTTTTAGCTTTGATCTAGCCCCAACTTAGATAGATAACCAATCTGCTGTGATAGGAGTTAAATTTTCGTTTAGTGAAAAATATTATTCAAATTTATCATCATCTTATTTGTACTCAAAGTATAATTTATAAATTATAAAGGACAAAGTTGAGTGAAGTGCACACCATCTGAAGCCGTCTACAAAAAAGTGTCCGAGAGAAAATCATGTGTTGAAGCTTTAGATAGGAATGAGGAGTCCATTTTGAAAAAAATAAGAGATATAATAAAATCTGTTGACAACTCAGCCAACTTGTATCAAATTAATTTAATAACAAAATCATTTGGTTTAATTAGTTGTAAAAAAGAGTTAAAATTTCAGATTGAAATAACAAATTCATACATGAAATTTTTTACTTCCATGCAGAATCATAACTCTTGGTGGAAACTAATATTCGAAAATTAAATTTCAGATATACCTATTAAGCCTCTGGAATCTCGGTTGCCCATGTTGAAGCAGCCTTTGGAATCTTGGTTGCCCATGTTGAAGTAGCATTTGGACCATTGTTGCCCATGCTGAAGCAAGAAGATTTGAGGTTTAAATAACAAAGACGAAAGAACTGAAATTTGAGGACTTGTGTGTGTCACAAGTCGAAATATAAGTCACTTTGTAACCAAAATTTAGGAGAAGTATATATATAAGGCTAGCTCTACAGTTAGATCAATATCTGGTCAATAGTCATGTCTTGGCCGTCGTTGACGAACAAATATAATCAAAGATCTAGTCGTTAATGACCATATTTTTAACCATAGATTTGACATTTTCCAGTCAAATCCATGGTGGATTTGGCCGGAAAAGACCAGATCGGTGCACGATTGACCAGATCCAGCCAATCGTGAGCCATTACAGTGACTTCTAGCTACTCTCCGACGATGGTGGTGGCTGGTTGCCGGCATTCAATGGGTGGATATGGGTGTTTTTATTAATTTTTAATGTTTTATTGTAGGAGGTGTTTAACTAAATTAGCAAACTTAAGATGTTTAAAAGTAGTTGAATAGAATAGAATTGGATTTTGAGAATATTGAAACAAATATGTATTTTGGGTAGAATGGGAATATGATAGGAATAACAAAACAAACAAAGCCAACCTATCATATTGTTGGTGATTGTATGTTATATATTTTTTAGCAAAGATTTTTTTCCAAATTTTAAAGGGATATATGTTGTTGTAGGATTTTATTTTATTTTATTTTTTTCAATCCGCTAAGATTAGATTTCTTTATGAATTTTGAACTTGAATAAAGGATATATATAAATATAACTTCCATTTAATTGTAAAAACTCCGGTTATATGCTACTTAATAACAAAATTTATTCCCAATATCAACTCAAGTGTAAGACAACTAAGGTCATTGCGTTTGTCTTCCATCAAGGCGTCGTTAATAAGATCTCCTTTTTCAGTAATTTTATTTAATTTATTGAATTATGTCAACAAAATTAGTAATTTCCTTACTCCATTTAATTGTATTTATTGAAGACAACTTTTGTATTCTCTAATTAACAAATTGATTTGTTTGACTGTTGGTTTGCAGATAGATTACGTACGCAGTGGACAAACAAAATATTTTTCATCCAAAAACCTTAAAGCCAAACGATCCTTATACGGATCTACAACGTTTTTCATAAAAAATATAATCATAAGATCAAGATTATACCAGCATTTAAAGGCTCATTGGATTGATGTGAATCGTTCCCACTCCAAGATAGGAATGAACTCCCAATATCCAGGATAGGACTACAATCGCCAAGGGGTTCAATGTGCTAGCAAACCCGCAAGGATCAAGAATAAAAATTGCATAATTTTTCTTTGAAAAATTCTCTTCTCTACTATGGAGAGAAAACATGTGAGGGAGAGGGGTGACTAGGGTTTCTTTAAAATTATATCTCTCACATTATTTTATTTTTAAGTTGCCGTTAAATAGGCAACAAAATAAAACCTTAATATAGTTAGGAATATACTAGAATGACAAATCCCCATTACCAAACAAGGTAATATTCCACATGACATTTTATTTAAATTCAAATATGAATTTCATATTTATATATTATCTTCTTTAATATTAATATTATCAAATATTCATATTAAATAATATATATATATATATATAATTTAAATACATAATCTCACTAATTTTAATTTCCATATGAAATTAAATATAGGCAACGATCTCAGCAAATTTAATTGCATTTTGAGATTATCAAACGAAAATACCCTTCTCTCCTATTTATTCTTAATTTGTCTTCTATGTGTGTGACTCGAAGACTCCTTATCATATCGACAGTGAGTAGTCTCGCAATTGACACCAATCAATTGTCTCACTAAACACAGACCAAGATTGACTTCTAGCAAGACATCATGACCATCTGATAGATTCAGATTCAGCGAAATAGCTTATCTATCAACGATATGGTTACCATGCAATCCAATCCCCTCATCATCTCTTATCTCATCAAGACCGAGGTACAGAAGTAGTGTCAACCTTGAATATCCTTGATATCTCGGTATTCAGTTATGGGACCAATGACCAGAATAGATTGGATTGAGCTAGAACTCAATCCCACTTTGGCGACAAATTTAATGTCATTGCCATCTGCCAAATTACTCAGCGAAATAATTTCTCTCATACTCGGGAATGATGAACCCTCTATCAATCCACCCTAGTCTCGATACACTTCTTTATGTAGCCAATCACTACCGTTCTAATAGTTTTGAATAGAACTATGTTAGGCTAGTGTCAAACTACACCAATTGGTACACAAGACACTCTGGTGATCTCAAGTCTAAGGATCATATGCACCACTATCTGTTAGAAGATTTATTCCATAGATAATGGGGTTACCATCTATGTGGAATCCTCTAGTGGGTTTATTCAATGAACTCGCCTATGTCAAGCACCCATGTGTTGTACCAAGTTGTCGACAAACAACCTTGACAAGTGAGACCAGTCACTATCTTTCGACATGGTCATTTAACACTATGATAGCCTTACCGTATTATTTATGTCCTTATTCAGAATAATACTAGGGCTACGGACGCTTCTAGAATGGCTATCATATGCGATCATAAGGTCTTCACTATCGAGATTTGAAGCACTTGATACCCTCCTCATGGTTCTACCATTCTAAAGACATACATTATAAGATATATTAAATATGAATTACATAATGTAAAAAATGCCTTTTATTAATTATAAACATTATTACAAGAGTCAACACTTACAAAAATGGATTGGCTCTAGGGCACCTACTTTAACAATCTCCCACTTAAACTATAGCCAATAATTCATATATTTAATACCGAATGACCTCAAGTGCTTTTCATTCTTCTACAGTGACAAAGGCTTAGACAGTGGATCTACGAGATTGTCATCAGTATGTTTTTTACAAATCTGCACATCTTTCCTCTTAAACATTTCTCTGATAAGATGAAATCACTTGAGCATGTATCTGGACTGCTGGTGAGACCATGGTTCCTTTTCTTGAGCTATTGCTCCATTGTTGTTGCAATAGACATCTATTGGATCAACAATCGTGGAAACCACACCAAGTTTGGTGACAAACTTCTTAATCTAAACCACCTCCTTGGCCGTATTGAATAATGCAATATACTCAACCTCTATTATAGAGTCTGCTACAGTGCTTTGCTTGGAGCTCTTCCAACTTACTATAGCTCCATTGAGACAAAATACAAATCTTGACTGCGAGCGATAATCATCTTTATCCGTTTGGAAATTAACATCACTGTATCCTCTTGCAGTGAGCTCATCTTGCCCTCCATAAACCAAGAACATATCCATAGTCCTTTTTAAGTACTTAAGGATGTTCTTGAAAGCTATCCAGTGACACTTACTTGGATTCAATTGATATCTACTACAAGTGCTTAATGCACATGAGACATCAATCCAAGTACACAACATGACATTCATGATGGATCTAATTGTTGACACATATGGGGTCCTCTTCATTCTATCTCTCTCATCGTGTGTTTTAGGACACATATCCTTAGGGGGAGAGACACCATGTGAAATTGGAAGAAATCCCTTCTTGGATTCTTTCATAAGGAATCATTTAAGTACCTTGTCTATATACGTACTCTAACTTAGGCCAAGCAACCTACGCGACCTATCATGATAGATTATTATTTTAAGGATGTAAGTTGCTTCTCCGAAGTCTTTCATGGAGAAGCACTTGGATAGCCAAGTCTTTACTAACTGCAAGTTCATTATATCATTCCCGATCAGAAGTATGTCGTCGACATACAACACCAAAAAGGCCATTGTACTCCTACTTTCTTTCTCGTAAACACATGGCTCATCTTCGTTCTTGATGAAACCAAATTCTTTCATGACTTTATCAAAACGAATGTTCTAGCTTCTTAAAGGTTGCTTGAGTCCATAAATGGAACTTTGCAACTTGCATATCTTATTACCTTATCTATCAAGAACGAAGCCATCGGGTTGTGTCATATACACATCCTCTTTACGGTTTTCATTTAGGAAAGTTGTTTTAACATTCATTTGCCAAATCTCATGGTCATGATATGCAACAATTGCAAGCATAATCTGGATAGACTTAATCATGGAAACTAGCGAAAAGATTTCCTTATAGTCAATGCTTTGGCAACTGATACGTTTACAAGTCTTAAAACACTTGTAAACATGAGTGGAC